AAGGAAGGAAGGAAGGAAGGAAGGAAGGAAGGAAGGAAGGAAGGAAGGAAGGAAAAGGAAGGAAGGAAAAGAAACAAAAAAAGAACCAAAAAGAGAAAAAAGAATAAACGTAATGAAATAAGCCAAGTTTTCCCCTAATTTATTTGTAAATTCAATTTTTTAAATTTTGCATAATCCATTTCTCTTATTGTTGTCGTAAATGTTTAATAAGTTTCTTTTTAATTCTTTTTTCATTTTTATCTGATGCATTGGGATACTTAATGGACTAAAAGTCTATTCAACATCTTTCATTTACAAAAAAAATCCCAACCAAGTCTAATGAACAGAGGACAAAACGTATTGCCACAAAATGTTTTCCTGTCTACTGACTTAGAAAAAGAAGAATTGAACAAACATATGATTTTTTTTTTGCCTGAAGGACTTTCTTACCTACAACGTTCTGTTGCCAAATTCATAACAATAAAAGCAAACAGTATTAAATGATCAAATGGCTTACTTGATATCAAAGAAAGGATGTTACTTCATTAAATTGTTTTTTTCCTCTGGTTCAACTGAGCTACAAGACCAACCCCAAGACTTTTTTTCTCCTACTTGTTAAAAAATATAATTTTGAAAGGCCAGAAAGGGAATTAATGTAATAGCATGCTAATGTAGCGGCTCATATATATACAATAGATCAGGGATCTTCAGCTTAAGACTTATGGGCTTCAACTCCCAGAATTCCTCAGGCCAATTGAGGAATTCTGAAAGTTGAAATCCACAAGCCTTAAAAGTTGCCAAGTTGGAAATCCCTGTAGTAGATGTATTAATTTTATGGGGAGAGAAATTCCGCTACAAGCCACTTACTGTTTTGCATTCATTTCCCATATCTGTTTGCAACCATCCAGGGTGCAATGCAACACACAGGATCTCATCTTGGGCGTATTGCAGGGACTGGCATCGGTTGAGCATGTTTAGAGCAGTCTAGAAGAGAGGCATTGTAGAAAGAGGAAGATGAATGGCACATCCTAGTTCTACAAAGAATATTGTAAGTTATGCTGCAGCTGCCCAAAAAGCCAATGCAATCTTAGGCTGCATTAGCAGAGGAGTAGAATCACAGATCACGTGAAATGTTAGTAGCAATAGCAATAGCACTTAAATCTATATACCGCTTCACAGTGCTTTACAGCCCTCTCTAAGTGGTTTACAGAGTCAGCCTCTTGCCCCCAACAATCAGGGTCCTCATTTTACTGACCTTGGAAGGACAGAAGGCTGAGTCAACCTTGAGCCGGTGAGACTCGAACTGCCAAAGTGCAGGCAGCTGGCGCCACCATGGCTCAATAGTTTCATATGGTGTGTGTGTGTGTGTGTGTGTGTGTGTGTATTTCCCCAATATGTATTTGCAAGAAAATGTTATTGGACATGATGTTACATGACAGAACAGATATTTCTGTAGGAGAACCGGGATGGGTTTGGGAAAGGAGAGCCCAGTATGTCGACTTTTGAGAATAACCACCAGCACAATAACAATTATGTTTCTCCCATCCTCTATACACTTGTAATTTTTATAATTAAAAAAAAAACACAAGGATCCCCCTTGCAGGCAACTGGCAGTCAGCAGAGGTAGCCTGCAGTACTGCACTCTAACCACTGCTCCACCACAGCTCTTAATAGTACCACTTTATAGCCTTGTAAGACCACTCTTGGAACACAGGTAGTGTGTGGCCATTGAAAGTTACAACAGCATTGAAAAAAGTGACTTTTTTCGCACTCATGACCGTTGCAGCATCCCCATGGTCGTGTGATCAAAAAATTCAGACGCTTTGGCAGCCGGTTCATATTTATGACGGTTGCAGAAGTCATGTGATCAATTCTGTTGACCTTCTGACAAGTGAAGTCAATTGGGGAAGCCAGGTTCACTTAACAACTGTATGATTAACTTAACAGCTGCAGTGATTCACTTAACAACTGTGGCCAGGAAGGTGGGGCAATGGGGCAAAAACTCGCCCAGCCACCGTCTTGCTTAGCTACAGAAATGTTGAGCTCCATTGTGATTGTTAATTTAGCACTCCCTGTATTGTCTGAGATTTTATATGAAAAATCTATACATATAAGATCTATAAATCTGGTATTTATATGACCGTGTGGGCAGTGACCAAGCCTTCTCCAAACCTTGCTGCAACGATAGTTGGGGATTTGTCCAATATCCCAGGCCATAATGTTGGTGATGGAGCCGCAGTCACTGGATACATTAATAATTGCAGCTTTGCTGCAGCTCATTCCTTTCAGAAGACTTTCCTTGGATGCCTTCCTCAGCAAAGGTAGGAAGACCTGAAGAAAAAGTGGGGGAGGGGAATTAAAAACAGCGGCACACTAGGGCTGGGTATGGAAAAGTCATCATGGGAATCTGCAATTGCAATAGCACTTAGACTTATGTACAGCTTCACGGCGCTTTACAGCCCTCTCTAAGCACTTTTACAGAGTCAGCCTCTTGCCACCAACAATCTGGGTCCTCATTTTACCCACCTCGGACAGATGGAAGGCCGAGTCAACCTGGAGCCTGGTGGGATTCAAACTGCCCAATTTCAGGCAGCTGGCAGTCAGCAGAAGTAGCCTGCAGTACTGCACTCTAACCGCTGCACCACCATGACTGCAAATGATAATCCAGAAATTATTCATCAAAGGCTGTCTTGTGGTTTTATAATCCTGGTGCAAACTTCTGTCCTTTCCTAATTGAGAAAGCTACACCTGATGAAACACATTTCTTCTCCTCCTCCTTCTTCTTCTTCTTCTTCTTCTTCTTCTTCTTCTTCTTCTTCCTACTACTACTGCTTTATAATTCAAAACACAACAATGTAAAAAGAAGTAGGAAAAACAGGGGCGGGCAACAGGAAGGGAGAAGTGTGGGAAAAAGGGAAAAAAGAAAGATAAGGCATTGACTTCCGATTTCCTTTAGTGCGGTAGAATAGGATAATAGCATCAAACCTCAACTTTTTACTTTTATGTAATAGTATAAATAAGCCATTTCTATACAACAAACCTATCTAATTGGTAATACCCAAAATCAAAGTTTCATTCCCCCCAGAACACACCTCAAGCGTAAAGTCCAGAAGCAGTTTCCAAGTAGAAACAAAAGTGTGTTGTATGTATGTATGTATGTGTTTGTTTGTTTGTTTATAGAATTCATATTGCCACCTATTCGCCCATGGTGACTCGAGGCGGCTTACAGAATGTTAACACTATATTTGAAAAAACAATTCTTTTCTAACAAAAAATAAAGTACGTTAGAACAAAATCTGTGGGGGGGGGAATCACCTCCCAACTCCCACCCCCCACCCCAATGACAGCAACTCACACAAGGAGCCATTTGATGGGCTCCATCCTGCTCTGGGTTCCCCAGGCCTGCTGGCAAATTCAGGTCTTCAGCGCCTTCCGGAAGAGGTGGCGCAATGGTTAGAAAGCAGCATTGCAGGCTAACTGTGCCCGCTGCCAGGAGTTCGATTCTGATCAGCTCAAAATTGATTCTGCCTTCCATTCCTCTGAGGTCAACAAAATGAGGACCCTGGTTGTGGGGAGGCAAGATCCTGACTCTGTAAACTGGTTCGAGAATGCTATAAAGGGACCCTGTGGGGTTCCTCAATATAAGTACTATTGCTAAGTGAGACCTAGTCAGAAGCAGAGATCTGGAGGACATTCCTACCTGGCCCATTACCATAGGACCAACGACATTGGTATTGTACACTTCTAGCATGTTTTCTGGTGTCTCTGATTCCAGACTGGATGGCTTTACTATTCCAGCATTGTTGAACAACAGATTCAGCCCAGCTCCGTGTAAACATCCAGTAATTTTGACCGCAGCAGCATTGATGCTAGAGGGATCGGAAGTATCTAAAACAGAAACAAGGAAGGTTTTTTTTAATGGGTGCAGATCCCTAGCCAGGAAGCAACCCTGCTGTTTCCCAACAAGACACCTGACTGCATTTTATATATTGGAGCTCTCTATATTAGAAAAGTTTTCCTCAATCTCACCTGAGAGGTTCTGGCAATTCCAATCCAAGGCTGGATCAATGGCACCTCCCAAGAAGGATGCTGTAACTTGCAGAATTGTGAGGTATAGTTGCAAAATGCAGAGCAGGAGAATCAAAAACAATAGTTTTGGGGGAACTTTTATGAAAGTATATCCATGTATGCTTTCCAAAAGGATGCTGTGATTGAAGAACTAACCCCCAAATGTTCACGCCACTGCATCTCTCATTCTCTCTCTTGTTTTTTTGTTATTTGGGTTTTTTTTTGTTGTTTCTGTTTTTGCATTTCGGGCTTACTGAAATAAATATTTGCTAAGGTGGTTGTGAAAATGAATTATGGTTGAAGAGGCAGCAAATTTTTTATAACAATTTTTTATAGCATGAAGACCAAAGACAAATTCTAAAACTAGCCACTACAATACAAAAGCATGATTGTTATTGTTGCACATATATGTATATATATTGTTGCATATATATGTGTGTATGTGTGTGTGTATGTGTGTGTGTGTGTGTGTGTGTGTGTGTATGTATATGTATATGTATGTATGTGTATGTTTTCTTAAGTTTTCGTAGGTACTTACATGTATGGTATTCAGCTTTGTTCGGGTATTTTCCCACGTCATTATAGTTGTGCTTTTAAAGTTGTAGCACACACACGACGAAGATGAACCCAACACACGAGCCTGATGATGGCAGATGAGATTCTGCTGAAAGGTCACTACAACTTTAAAAGCACAACTATAAAGACATGGGAAAATACCCAAACAAAGCTGAATACCACACACACACACATGCACACACACACACACACACACACACACACACACACACACACCATACAATACACCCTAAGAACCTTTGGCCTCCAGGTTCATTGCCTTTCCTATCAGCCTGTGTTTTTTGGTCTTTAAATGTTATTATGCAATTGCTAACTGCGTGTGTACAATTTTATCTAGCTTAAAATCTCAGAACAACAGAGAACAAATAAATGCCTTGGTTTTTACACATTTTTTTTGTTTGTTTTGGCAGCCACAGGTCTGGCTATTCATTCACCCTTTGGGAGACAAAGGGAACGAACTAAAGGAGAAAACAGCAGATTTTCCGTTTGGACAATCCCTTTTACGAGGACTGTTATTGGAGCAACAGACCTATGATGCAGGTGTGACAAATTCCTGCAGGAAAGGCAAGACAGATGTGTATTGATATGTCTACAGGCAGTCCTCGACTTATAACAGTTCGTTTAGTGACCGTTCAAAATTACAACGGCACAAGATCTTGTTGATGACACAAACTTTGTCAAGGACCTTGGAGTACTCATCTCAAATGATCTAAGTGCTAGAGCCCACTATAACTACATAGCCAAAAAGGCATTAAGAGTTGTCAACCTAATCCTGCATAGCTTTTTCTCCAGCAATATCACTCTACTAACTAGAGCATATAAAACATTTGCTAGACCAATACTCGAATACAGCTCATCAGTCTGGAACCTGCATTACGTATCTGATATTAATACAATTGAGAAAGTCCAGAAATATTTTATGAGAAGAGTCCTCCATTCCTCTACTCGTTGCAGAATACCTTATGCCACCAGACTTGAAATTTTAGCCCTAGACAACCTACAACAACGCCGCCTTCGGTTTGATCTAAGTATAGTATATAAAATTATCTACTGCAATGTCCTACCTGTCAATGAATACTTCAGCTTCAACCATAACAATACAAGAGCACACAATAGATACAAACTCAAGGTAAACCGCACCAAACTTGATTGCAGGAAATATGACTTCAGCAACAGAGCAGTCAATGTCTGAAATACTCTACCTGACTCTGTGGTTTCTTCCCCAAACCCCCAAACCTTTAACCTTGGACTGTCTATTATCGACCTCACCCCTTTCCTAAGAGTCTGTAGGGGGCGTGCATAAGCACACCGTTGTGCCTACCATCCCTGTCCTATTGTTTATTTATTTTTTCTTATTTGTATCCATTTCATGTATTTATGACCATGTTTATACTTATATCCGTTATCTAATAATTGTTTGACAAAATAACTAAATAAGTAAAAAATAAAAAAAAAGTTGACTGATGACCAGTTTTCACACTTAATGACCGGAGTAGCATCCCCACGGCCACGTGATCAAAATTCAGATGCTTGGCAATTGATTAGGATATATGACCGTTGCAATGTCCCATGTTCACTTTTTGAGACCTTCTGACAGGCAAAGTCAGTGGGGAAGCCAGATTGACCGAACAACTGTAATTTCACAACTACAGTGATTCCCTTAACTGCGGGGCAAGCCAACTGAACAAATGTTTCACTTAGCAAGAGAAATTTTGGGCTCAGGTGGGGTTGTACACCAAGGACTACCTCCACTCCCATCTCACAGAAAAATCCCCCCTGCAAGCCAGCTCTTGGCCCATCAGGCAAAGGGGGCAACCGGCAACCCTCCAGACCCTGCTGGGCCACCAGGGGCTGGCTCTCAGACCCCAGAAGAAGGACAATATTAACACATGCTGAGAGTTAGGAGCCAGCAATATCAGAAAGGTCTGCAGGTTGCTCGGTTTGAATGCAAGGGCAGGAGCCCGGAACTCACCAAGCTGGATGATTTCTATTCGGTGCTGGTGTTGGGCAGCCAGATTCTTCAAGCTCTGAAAGACACAAATCGAGGAGAGTCTTTGGAAGCTGTTTTGAGGCTGGTGAAGAATATGTGGCTGAACAGAAAGGAAAGCAGGAGGCCGTTAAATTATTTGCAGAAGAAAGAGGAGAGAATGTTTGCAAGAGGTTTCCACCTCATTCCCTTTCCCAAGCAACGCAGGCTTTGCCTGTCACTAGAGCCAAGTTATTAACCCCCAGTTGATTCCTTCCAGGGCTCACCTTTGCACCTGGTCCCTCTGGGTCACGGCAGGTGGCAAAGATCCATTCTGGTGGGTCCCTTTTCCCCACCAGTTGCTTCACCAGCTCCAGGCCGATGCCCCGATTAGATCCTGTCACCAGGACACTACGTGGATTCAGCCCTTCCATCTCCTTCGGTAGCTAAAATCCAACTGGAAAAATTATGCAGCTTGACTTCAATAAATCGGGTTTCTGTCCCCTTTCATCTGCCTTGGCTCCCAGAAAGTGTTTCTGGTCTTTTGCACTACGTTCGGCAAGCGTTCAGAAGCTCTGAAAGTAACTGCCCACACCCAATATGCAAAGGAAGAGAAGTGGTTTTTAAAGCTGCTGGTTGCTTAGTGAGGGAGGACATTGGAGGGAAGGTTTTGTGTGTGTGTGTGTGTGTGTGTGTGTGTGTGTGTGTGTGGAAAGGAAGGAAAGAAGAAAGGGAGAGAAAGAGAGAAACAGAAAAGGAAAAGAAAAAAAGCAAAGAGAGAGAAAGAAAGAAAGAAAGAGAGAGAGAAAGGGAGGCAGGGAGGGAAGAAGGAAGGAAGGAAAAGATAGATAAAAATGGAAGGAAATGAAAGAAAGAGAAAGAAAGAAAGAAAGAAAGAAAGAAAGAAAGAAAGAAAGAAAGAAAGAAAGAAAGAAAGAAAGAAAGAAAGGAATGAATATGGGAGGGAAGAAGAAAAAGAGAGAGGGGAAGTAAAGAAGGAAAAGAGACAGAATGAAAGAAAGAGAGAGAGAAGGTATAGAAGGAAGGAAGGGAAAGATAGGAAGGGGTGATCTTCAAATATAACTTGGACCAATTGGGTATTCTTTTCAAAGACCTCATATTCGCTGGAGGGTGATGGAGGACAGCACTGACTGGATCACTGCCAGATTTTTGTCACACACTTTCCAAACAAATACACATAGGAAGGTGAGAATCACTGCCGATTCCTTCCTTCTTCCTTCTTCTCTTTAGCCGAAGGAGCCCCAGGAAAAGGAGCACTGCACTGCTATCTTTTTTTTTTTTTTTTGCTTTCCTGGGCTTCAGGGAAGCCTCCTGGGAGCCACCCACCCCCCACCCCAAGGAGGCTTCCCTGTGACCCAGGAGCACCAAAAAACAGACCACGGGGGAGAAGGTGTTTCCAACTCTGTTAATCTGTAAGCTCAGGGGTTGAGCTTGCTTGTTGTCTTGTAGATGTTCCATTTACCCAAACTAGATAACATCATCGGTGCATGTCTGTAACATCACATCTGCTCCGGCTTGTTTGAAATGGCGGCTACCAAGGCAGTATTTTCTCTTGGAACTGCTTAAACTGTCTGGCATTGCAAACCTGGAGTGGGGCCGATCCATTTTCCCCTGGAAGGAAATCTGGCCTCATCCTGCCTTGCAATGTTGGTGCTGCAGCCAGCCACAAACCTTTCCATCTGTGCCATAAAAATACATGCCATCTTGTTCGCGGCCTTTAGAGGTTACTTCGCTTAATCCAGCTGTCATAGCAACATAAACCCTGTTTAGAAAATCACTTTTTGCTGACGTTTCCATTGCATAACTTAACTCTTATAATTTGATTTTATAACTCCTTTCACTGCCTCCCCTGATGGGGAAGTTGCGTTGTTGTTGTTTTTTTGTAGACATCTTGCAACACCCCAGGGAAAGTCCCCAAAATGCCTATTGTGAAAGGCAGACCGAATGCGTTGGGACCAGCAACTCAGTCGTAAGATGAAGCAGTCGCGAAAAGAAGCATTACACGCTTTGACGATCTTAGCATCTGTTTTTCCTGTGCTTTACAGACCTGAGAAGGCCGCAATGTGAATGAGAACCGGTTGGAAACGCGTGTTTTCATCGCCATCTTCGCCACGGTCGCTAAACGAGGATTACCTGGATTTCCATTTTGAGTGGAGCAGGGAAGGGAGCAGTGGTAAAAGGAGGGAAAAAGAGATTGAAATGGGGTTTTGGCTTTAGAAGGGAAATTTCAACCTGAAGTTACTCCGCAAACATGAATGTCCTTCTCAAGACTAGATTTCTAATGAGCTCTTACCTCTAGGCAACGTTTCAATGAAGTCTCATTCATCATCATCAGGCTTCTGTCTTCGGCTGTGCTTCTCAGAATAATGTGAACTTGCAGCAGCTCAGGACATTGGGGGCAAAGTTGGAGCAAATAAAGGGACTCCTACTTATTATTTGACTGTAGGGGTACTGCAACGGTCATGAGTGTGTAAAAGGGTCATAAGTCATTTTTTCCAGTGCCATTGTAACTTTGAACAGTCGTTCCACAAATGGTTGTAAGTCAAGGACTACCTGTTGCTACAACTTTAAAAGCACAACTACAATGACGTGGGAAAATACCCGAACAAAGCTGAATGCCTATGTATATATATAAAAAAATCAGTCTGGTTTCAATTATATTTTAACCAATTAGGCTTTGCTGCCTTGAAGGAAAGGAATCGGTCCATAGATCTCTTTTGAAGAATTCAGAAGCTTGGTCAGTGGATTCTTGTGGGTGGGAAGAGAGATCTGAAAACATTTTGTGGGGAGAGGGAAAAGAAACTCAAGATGGCA